AAAAAACAATGATCCAAGTTGATACATTATGGAGGACTACACCTATTATGCTAGGTAATGTAGGCATGTATTTGAATACTATTCCATGCATAATGTATTAGATTCCCAGTTTCTAAAGTGTGTAACTAAAGTTTGTTCAATTTGGGGTCAAGGTATCCTTTAATCATTGGAATGTGGTTTACTCGGGAATTCCAAAGCAATTTGCTTGCTAATACTAGGCATTTTTATTCTGACAAGGCAGGTTAGATTTCAGTCCACTTTGGTAAACAAAATGGAGGTACAGAAAGTTGGCTATTTGTCTAGTGTTTATCAGAAGGTAGTGACATTAACATGGTGGTGTTGTTTGAGGATGTGTGAGAATTGGGGTAGGTCAGTTTATATTTTCTATCTCATTATATGAAATGACAAAAGGAGCAAGGAAGCCAGTGGACGTCCCTGACAGTGGGAGGTGAATCAGCAAGCAAAGGGCAACCAATAGTGTTCATCATTCACTCGTAAATATTCTGGGTGTATAGCTATTTCAACACTAAATGAGATTATTAGTTCTCATTTTAGGCAGCCTTTCATTATTATTGATGACTGACACAAGCTGAAAAATGGCCATGATTGTATAACACCCAAAATATGTTTGCAGTAAATTCGGGAAGATTTTGCTTCATCTGTCAGTTGAATAGGTTGCCCTACATACACAAGATCATTCAACCCACAGCATCTTGTAGCAGCACGAGCTAGCCTTGTTCAGTAGGACATTTAAACCTTGTCCTTCAGCAAAGTGAAGTGAGAGGAATGTTCTCATCAAAAGTCGAAATCTGAAAAGCAAACTTTGATCTGTCAAATGGTCAAGTGTGTTAAAGGTGAAAATAAAGCTACTACGACTTTAAGGTCTTTTTTTAGACTCTTGTTTTCCTCGTAAGTAGAGAGTCTTTCTGAGGTAGGGCATCTGTTACCTGTGTTTTATAAGTCTTTATTTACCTGAACACAAACTCTGAGCTAATAACATTAAGGGTTATATTCTAATGGCTAAATCTTTAAACCTTGTCTTCTTCCCACTAATTTCTAGTTCAGAAGTATGTGTCACAGAATAAATGGGAATTCATTATAAAAGAGAAATGTCTAAGATAGTAACATTTTTATTAATTATTCTTCCCTAGTGTTTATCACATCAAGATCTCATAATAATAGTCACCATAGCAAATATAATAAAAAATACTTTTTCTCATGACAGCTACATTTCAGATTAGTACTAATAGAAATTTCTTATCTAATAATTTGGCTAAACTTTACCTTAGGAATGAGGTAGTATGAGATAAATTATAAGATGGTTAGTGACGTGAATTTCACATAAGCAATGGTTTTTTTTTAGTGTAAGAATTTTCTGTCATCCTTATACAAGAATAATTATAGTTTGTCTAAAACTCAAATTGAAGTAGGAGAACCTTTTTTCCACCTAAAATTGGCAACTCCAGGGTATAAGGAAGTCTATGCTTGAAGAAAAGAAAACAACGACTCAAGCTGCAAATAGAAAAGCCGAGGAGCCGCAGTTTACCAAACAAGGTGGGAGTCAGTCACTAAGGCAAAAAAATACATCATCATCATCACCGTCCTGGCTTATTTTTGAAGGTGTTCTCCTTTTCCCCTAGAACTAAAAAAAACAAAAACAAAAACACACGCACACAAAAACCCCACGTCACTTTGCTTGGAGATTAATTTAACATTTTTCCCCATGTATCGTTTGGCCACTAGATGGCAGTGTCAGCCCATCACACCCCACCCCCTCCCAGGTATTCTGGAGCCAATTTTCTGTACCTTGTCCTCTTTCACTTCGCAGGTTTCAGCTTGTCACTTTTCTTTCCCCTCTTTGTTTTCTATTTTTACTTTCATTCAAATGCCAGCAAAGCCAGCTGGTTGAAGAAGTCATGTGGTGCTTCACGCATTTGTCACAGGGGGCGTTGTGGATGAAGAGTTTAACTTAATTTCTAGGCTCCATGGGGTAGATATCAGGCAGGAGGGCAAAAGGACACGTCACTGGAAGCTGAGACTGGGTCGACGAGGACCGAGTTTGCTCATACTTTGCTAAGCTCTGGCTTATTCTCTTTCATGTGGGAATCTCTCTTGGCTGATGGCTAAGGCATCAGGTGTGTGTAGGTGGAGTCACAAGAGACTTTCAAAGGATGGAATTGGATTTTTAGTGACTGTGATGTGTTTTGTATCAGGACATGATGCTTATTTTTATTGGAATGAAACAACTGAATTGCAAAGCTGTACGCATGGAGGTGTCAGGAGTTGCTCTGAGATTGTTGATCTGAGAGAGAGTAATCCTAAGAGTTCATAAAGTTGCATCAAAGAAGAACTCAGGTAGTATCCCTAATATTCTTGTTCCAAGGAAGGTCAGGACTGGAGAGGACTGTGAGAAAATGGCTTAAATAAATTCAAGTTCTGTTCTCATCCTGACCAAAACCTGTTTCCCACGCGAGAAGGCACCCCTCACTCGGACTACTGTCCCTTTCCCTCCAATCTCAGTGTCATGTTTCTTGCACTGGTCCCCAGCCACTGAGGTATCCAACGGGATCTGCATAAAGAGATGTCAGTGCAGAAGGTTTTGTTATTGATATTGACTAATACCCCTCTTTCAGATTTGCAACACTTCATTGTTCCTCATGTTTGTCAACATGATGATGTGTCTCTCTATCTTTCTAGCTAGCTAGCTAGCTATCACTAAATCTGGATATTGCTCCTCATGCTGGTTCTCTCATTTAGTGGACAAAATGAAACACAAATTACACTAACATGTTGAATGTATGTCTCTATAATGCTTACTCCTGCCCAGAGAATGTCTATAGAAGAATCTTCTTCTACTTTTATCTTTGCCATCACTGACAGCCAGCTCCTTAGCTGAGTAAAGGGGAGTGCTTTGTACATACTCCTGCACCTTGCCTTGTGCCCCAACCTCCCCTTCACTTTAGATCTGTCATCAATTCTTCCTGAAAAAAGGGAAAAGTTCAAATCTGTCTTTTTATAATAAGAATCTTCAACCCACTGATAGCTTCTGCATCTAGGAACTTATCAGTTGTCTGATTCTTCTTGCCTTAGGACATTTTTAAAAAGGATTTGTATATTTAAAATTTTCTTTTGTGATTATTTATAAATTATTTTATCTGCACAGGCAATTATATGGAAACAGTTTTCCTTAAAGTGATCTTTAATAACATTTTCCATGGATGGAGGTAGAATTTGGGATGTTATTTCACTCATGATTTTATTCATTAATATTTCATTCATTTATTTGACAAATATGTAGAGGGCATCTTCCATGTGCCATCAGTGTGCTAAGTGCTGGGGAAACTAAACAAACAAAAAAGATCAACATGGATGTTGCCTCAGTGTTCATGGAACTGAAGTACACAAGATGGTTTATTTTATTTAATAAATTAATTTATTTTTTTAAAGATTTATTTATTTATACAAGAACCAGGGTACAGGCCAGATGCACGGGAGGGTGAGAAGATTCACCAGAGACAGAGCAGGGAACAGAACAGGCAGACTGACGAAATACACTGCTGAGGGGAGCAGTGGGCGAGACAGGAGAGGTCTGCCGCACCATGTGGGACCCTTGCCTGCTGGCCGGGATCGATTTTTCTTTCTTTCTTTTTTTTTTTTTTTAATGGTGATTATGTGTGTGATTCTTTTTAATTATATAATTCATTTATACAGAGAAATCATTTGGATTGATCTATTTACACTTTTTTGTTTGTTTGTTTTCATTTTCACTGGCCAAATATATTTCACAAAATAGTCAACATTTACTTGGATGGATCAACATTGTAAATCTACCATGAGAAGAATTTTAAGACTAGGATCTCATTTTACCGGAAACATTTTACAATAAAAGATTGATCAGTCTTTTTTCCATCATATGAATAAATTGACCAAATAATGCAATACAGTCAAATTTCCAACACATAGCATTGTTTCTCTTCAAACCCATTATTTGCAGGTTGTATAAACCAAGGCAAATAAAATTCACTTCCCCTCAAACCTTCTACAACTTACTACATACCCTCAATTTTAGCTTTTTCTCTATTCTTCCACATTCTGGCACAACCAGACATTTTAATTTTAAGACAAAACTACTCTCCCTTTCCTTCTTATTTTACTTACTATCAGTCATCAATTGCTCTCCCTCCTTTCTTCAGACACCACTAAAACTTTCAACAAATCATGATGGTGGTTTCCTTTCAGTAGTCCAGAACACAAGGAGGTGCTGCTTTGTGTGTTTGCCACCCCAAAATGCTACTTTCAACATTGCAGTTTTCAAAATTGGCTCAAAAACAGTATGGCTTGGTTTCACTTGGTAAAGTTAATATGACTAAAAAAATTTACATATATAAGTATATATATATATATATATACACACACACACGCATACACACATTTTTAATCAAGGAAGAAAAATACTTTAAAGACATGCCAATTTGAAAAGGCATTAAAGTAAAAAAATAAAAGCAAATACTAAAAACTACTTTACAATAAAAAAATTAAATAATTGGTTGGTTAAATGAATGAAAAATGAGGAATGTGCAGTGAAAAAACAAACATATATAGCATTCCAGTTGATAAAATGGAAAATCTATTAAGTTTGATGGTTTGCAAGGAAATTAAATTTTGATGTAAATTCTAAAACATTACAAACATCTATTTCATGTAGACATCAGATGCCAATGTTAAAACTTCAAAGTCTATGCTAGGTCTATCAAAGAAACACTGGTAAAATCCCAGTATTTGCAAAATTTTACTGGTAAAATCCCAGTATTTGCAAAATTTTAAGTTTTGGCAAATATAGTAAATCCCACAATGGTTTGGTATTGACAAATCATGATGAATGCAGAATGAGGAGAAAACTTATTTCATTGGATTAAAAAGACCAGGTTTGAATGTTCTAAATAATCTGAGAACATAGCTAAAAAAAACAAAACAACCAAAAAAAACAAAAAACAAAAACCCAAACACCAAACCCCAAAAAAGCCCCTGCTGTTCAGCAGTAATCTGCATATATATCTTTAGCTGCCATTGGGAAAAAATAAAAAAGGGACAACCACCAAAACCATAGGTGTTAAGACTGGTATTAAGTGACCCTGTGATGCTCGTTACATGCTCACATTCCAAAGAAAAACAAACTGTACACATTTATAAATTAACAGTCTCTCCACTAGTTAGTGCACAGGGCTTCCTTTATACCAAAGTCTCCTTCCGTTTGCCACTGTTTGGGGCTTTGTCCCTGGCTTTCCGGCAGCCAGGCTGTGTCCGGTGGGTTTTCACGCTCTTGATGTGACTTGTGGTGGGCACCGAGGAGCCACATTCTGAAGCGTCGCCTTCAGTTTCGACCTGAGTCACACTAGAGGCCGTGGACGCTCTCCTCTGGGCTCTGACATTGCCGGCAGCGGGGTCATTCTCACGCCCTTCGTGGAGCTGCGGTAGCCCCTGCAGCTCAGCCGGGCTGGAGACCTGCCGGAAAGGGGCGACGACAGCGCGAATACAGCTGACCCACTAGTGCTTGTGGAACATATCGTTGGCTTGCAGGGTGTGAGACTGCCCTGAAGAGGGTTCTTGGAAGCGAACCCTAAAGATATTTTTAGCTTTATCTGAGTTGCCGAAAGCCCCTCAAAAGGACCCCCCCAATTTAACATCTCCGTCCTGCAGGTCTTCCAAAACCAACTCCTGGACTGGGATTGGCTGCCGGTAAACCTGGTAAGAGAGGCGCTCATTCCGTGTAACAGGCCGAGTCAAAATCAAGATGTCTTGAAACAGGAAAATGTAAAGTTTATGTCCATTTTTATCCTTCAGTTCCCCATGGCAGAGCAATGCTCTGCTTGCTTCAATTCTAGGGTCCTTCTGCTTTTCATCCAGATACTCCAGTTTGTCAATGTAATATTGCCATTCTGATTCGCCTCTCTTCACGTTGATATCAGAGAGAACTCCTTGTATTATTGATATAGCTTTGTCCAGAAGCTGAACATCAGGGTGATCTTTTGGAGTATGTTTCAGAATTTCTTTTAATAATAAAGGGTATTTGACTAGACGACTTCGAGGAATATCTAAGAAGCTCCAAAGATCTAGTTTTCGACTGAAGGGAGACTCCAGACATCGCTGAAGGAAGTCTTGGACTCTTGGATCCTGTTTCTTTTGATCAAGAAGAGCTTTGGCTGCTAGCTGGTTACTACAGTAGCCTTTGTAGGCATTCAAGCCTGGCAACCAGTTCACAAGAATGTGACCAATCTGCTCCACTGTTCCACTAAGCTTGGTTGCTTGTCCTATTCTTGCCAACAAATCTTCATGCAGAGGTATGTAAGCATCCAAATCACCAAATATATGTGCAAGTTCCTCTTCTGACATAATAGACAACTTTAACATGGGGTCATGGTAGGCCTTTCTTGCAAGCTTGAGATCCTCAATTAAATCCTGTTCCCCCCCGGAACAGTTCATATATTGCCTCCTGACGTTTGATTTCATTGGTAGTTAAAGACTCCTTCATATTGATATCTAACTTTTCTGACCACAGAACACTACTTCTCCTCTTGGTAGGCATTGGGACTGTTGATCTGTTTGATAACTTCTGGGCAGAAGCCAGGGATCTGTTGTCACCACGAAGGGTAAATGACTGTATTGTCTGACCAAAGCGATGGACTGCTCCATTTCTTACAGGAGAGATTAAATTTGCCAAGGATGTGACCCGAGCTAGAGGTCGAACTCTTATTGCTTGGCTCCTTCAGATCAAGGCTTCTAAGGCTTACAACATCATCATCTTTCTCTCTTCGTTTCCTTTTCAAAGTAAAGTCCCAGTGGGGGCCAGGTGTTAAGAATGTGAAGGAGCTACCTCGCCGAAGGGAATATCTGCCGTCAGGCTCCGGCACCGGGGTGTCAGCAGGCCCGGGGTCCCGGATGTCCTCAGGCTCGGGCCCCCGAGGGTCTGCAGGCCCAGCGGCGCCATCCGAGCTGAGTCCGGAGGCTCGACGGCTTCGCCTCCGCGGCCGGTGCTGCTTCTGGGCCGCCAGCTCGGGCTCCATGGCGCCGAAGGGGGGTGGGCGCTGGCCGGTGCCCGGCGGCTGGCTGGGATGGGCACTGCGCCCACCACTCTGCCCGGGGAAGTTGCTGTCAGGACAGCACCGCCGCCATCTTCCGGCGGGATCGATTTTTCAATCACAGGCAGTGTAATATAGTGGAAAGGGGGAATCTAGCATTTAATGAGTGCTTCTCGTAAATGCACATGCTGTCTTATTTCTCACCTTTCACTCTAGTATGTCACGAATGCATAGATACAAACATGTTTACCACTTTTAAACAATCATAAAATTTATCTGATAGAAAATTGTCAAGATATCTCCTAATTATAAACTATAGGTATACTTACACAACAATAAACATTTGTTGAAAGATTATTTAGTGTCAGGTGTGCTTTATATATAGACGGGCAGATTAGTAAATATGATGGGAACTAGTCCTTTTCTCATGAAGATTATATAGGAGTGATTGTAACAATATAAATTAGAACAATGAATGTTACTATTTAAGTATTCATTAGACTTAATGATCCCTCTCAGTGAAGAAGAGAAATCCTTTCTTCTGTAGATACAGGATTCTTATATCTATAGACTATTAATCAGTAAGACCTACTCTGCAGTAATAGGAGAATTCATGTGCAGAGTTCATGGACACAGTCATCTCCATGTACACATAGAGAAGGGCAGACTCTGAGTGTTAGTTCCAAAATGAAATTTGGCCTCCTGTTCCCCTACTGTATTTCATAATAAATGTAATATAAAAGAAAAGACAGGGTTTATATAATAAAATAGGTATTTGACTGTTCTCTCCTCTAGGTGTTGAAAATGATGTTTAACTATTTTGATTAGAAACTAATACTTATTTTGCAGTTTAAAATAATATATGGTAGGCTATCAGATATCTACTCATTTGCTTCTAATGAGGCCCATTTACTCTCTCTCTCTCTCAACACCTATATATGTATCTAATCTATCTCTCCAGTTCTTTTCCTAAGTTTTGGAAGAATCACTAAGAATATTCAGAAATTTCTCTGGGGCTTCAGAGAGGCAACAAGCAGAAACATTGCTTAGCTACAGGTCATGGAGAAAAGGTCTCACAAGGATGCTGGCATAAGACTTCCTTTCAAAATTCAGCTCGAATGCTGTCGGACAATTTTCTTTTAGGCAAAGCCTGATGGGATTGTAGTTTTACAGTTTTCTAAAATCACATGACTTTCAGTTTCTTTCAGGGCAAGACTTCAGAAAACTTTGCCCCTATTTCATCCCAAAACTTGAGCTAGCAAGCTCAATCTAGCTAGATATAAATGTAAATGTAGATGGAACTTTTACCCTTAACAGAAATGCTTTTCATTTGATTTCTCTTCATTGCTGCCAAGATGAGTAGAGAGATACACTGCAGCTTGTGGTTTTTGGATTTTGTTGCAAATGTTGGAGCAAGGGGTTGATTGATTGGTATAAACATGTAGCAATAGCAACAGCTGTTTTAAAAAAAGCATAAAAGGGAATGAAATGATTTAAAATAAACAGTAGTTACATTTATGACATACATACAGCCTGGGTATTTTTAATTTTCCTTGCCTAGCTAAAAATGAAACATTTGTACAGATAGCAGTAAAATAACTACATTCCAAATTCAAGTTTTCATGCCTCAGAAGTAATGAGCCTTCTTTCAGATGTTTTTAAATTTTTTATTTCAGTATCTCTCTTTATTTCATTAGACTTAATTTTCCAGTGAATATTACTGTATTTATTTTAATTTTGAAAATTCAGCAAGCTTACCACAAGTTTTAACTTCTTTTTAATTTTGACTTTTATAAATTAGACAGTAGCAATGAAAAAATATTCCTAAGTATTTCCTTTGTTATTGATAGCTAACTCTTATTTTCATCACTGATGTCATGAGTCACATAATAGGTGATATCTCAAGGGGAATTTTGGTTTTTTTTTGAAAATTCTCTAACTTTTAAAGATGGATCTTTGAGTAATCTTCCTACAAAATGAATATCTTACCCCTGGACAATCATGTGTAAAGCTCAGATATGATGTAGGAATTTACTTTCTCTGACTTTGGCTTTAGTAAAACAGTATTTTGGGGGTCTTTTTGTTCACAAAATAAGAGATTTATAAAAATCAGAATGGATGAAAGAGACCACAAGTCCAAACCTTTATTATTCTCATCCTTGGATTATGGTCTGGAGAAGCTTAAAGACCTTCCTAGTCTTGAAAAAGCCAAGGAAAGTGAGAGAAAGAGTAAGCACTAGAAGCCAACTGGCTTCTAAGGGTATGATGACAACTAACGAAAGATGTTATTTCTTCATATAATTTTACTCACACATTCGTGACCTTGAGCAATCAGAAAAAGATAGAACCAAGTTTTAGACTTTAAGTCTTAACTCTCCCATTCATTCCTAATCTTCTCCCCAAGAGACAAGTTGAATTAGTGTTTCTGTATCATTGAAAAGGAAACTAAGATACAAAGAAAGAGGTAAGAAATGCAAAGAAGACACTAAGCTTCTGATTGAGAAAAAAAATTTGTTTGAAAAGAGTTCTTATAAATACATTGTTTATAACTCAGAATTCATTCTCCCAGAAAAAGTCATTATGCGTCATGGTTGAATCATCAGGAAAATACCTTAAAACCTATGTTATATGTTTCTTGCCCTGAACTTAGCTGTGAATGAAGATCAGTGTGGAATGTACACAAATCATCTATGTTTTGGAGGTAACATTGCATTAAACATTATATAAATTTCAGGTATTTGTCACTGAGTATCAACCTGTGTAATACCCTATATTAAGTTCAGCACTGAAGGCCTAATACTATCCTTTACCCTCACCATGCAATTGTCTCTTTTCCCCTGATTTACCCATCACTTTTTCCCTTTCCCTTCTAATTTAGTGTAAAAGTTTATTTTTGTTTTATTTAATTCATCTGTTTGTGCTTTCTACATACCGTATGAGTGAAATCACATAGTGTTTTTGTCTTTCCCTGTCCAGCGTATTTCACTAAGCTGAATTCCTTCCAGGTCCATCCATGTTGTTGCAAAGGATAAATTTTTATAATTTTTATAACTGAGTAGTACTTCTTTGTGTATATGTACCATGTTTTATTTATACAAATATGCTTATAGTTTATAATAATATTATAGGTTTGTGACCACAGACACAAGGATTCTATGTACTCTATATACGTGTTTCCCATAAATTTGTATTCTGCTTTATACTTGACATATGATGCCTTGCCTGAGTAGATGAAACTTCCTTTTGACTAGCGGCTAATGAGAACTGAATCCTCTGCTTATTGTTTTACATCTCTGTTAATTGGAAGAATTTTCCGTAGATTGACTGCTGACCCAGTAGCTTTCAAATCATCTCTCTTCGCTATTTATCAGTTACTTCTGGTGCGTGGCACTGGGGAGGCATTCATATAGCAGTAAGCCAAGGTTCAAGCATTATGGGAGGTGATAAGAGTATTCCTAGAGACATCACTACGCTGGATAAGCTAGCAACTTATTGTGAATGAAAATGACTATGAAATTGCAAAAAATATTTTAGACTCAACACATTAAATATACATCCAACCACACTTCCCTTTTGCTACATTTCCTAAACAGCCATGTCTACTCCAAACCAGCCCCTGCAGGATGAAACATGATTGGGGAATTCAGAATGGAAAGAAATAAATGTTTCACTTAGTTTCAGAAGACACACAATATCAGACTGTGTGATTACATTGTTGAAGTGAGAGGTCTTCAGGCTGAAACTTTAGCAGCTTTGTGGTAAGCCGGACTCTGGCTTTAACATATTGTCTGTCACTGCTCCCAGGCCCCAGCCCCTTTGGGTTGTAGGAAGTGACTTGCCTGCTACTTACTTGTAGAGGATTAAGTTCTCTTAATCATAATGACCGTTCCATCTAGTTAGGGACATATTAATAATGCTTTTATCCACAATGTTAATAAAAAATAAATCAAAAAGACTTGAGACAACAAATGGTGAGGATGTGGAGAAAACACTCCTCTGCGATCGTTGGCAATGTAATTTGGTATAGTATAGTTTCCATGAGCGTCATATGGAGGTTCCTCAAAAAAAGTGATAATGGAAATACCATATGACCATTGCTAGGTATTTACTCAAATATTATGAAAACACTAGTTGAAAGGATTTATGTGCATCTGTGTTTACAGCATCATTATTCACAATAGCCAAATCATGCAAACAACCTAAATGCCTGTCCACGGATGATTGGATGAAGAAACTATAGAATATATGCTCAGCTATTACAAAAATGAAATCATGCCTTTGGGACAACATGGATGGATCTTGAAGTGATTATGACAAGTAAAATAAGTCAGAAAGTGAAAGGCAGTTACCGGATGGTTTTATTCACTTGCACTATATAGATAACCAAAGAAAATAAATGTAACCAATACAAATAACCAAAGAAAGCAAACTGGCAAAGCACTAAGAATAATTCTGACACTCAGTGAAAAATACACTGGTTACCAGAGGGGAGGGATGGTGGAGGAGGTGATAGGGGAGGGGAGGTGCAGGTTGAGGCCCTGGAGTTTGATAGAGGTGAGTGAAACTTGTACACATGTGCAGGTGTGAAATTGTACTCCCTGAGTTATATAGTTATGTAAGTGAGTGGCAAATAAATAGAACTTAAGAAAAAGTCACAAATTATATGCAGTTTACTACAGACATGAAACAGATTAGGTTTGGTTTATTGTCAACATAACATAGGCTGAATTTAACATGGACTGACAAACTATGTTCAGGGGATTTTTTATTTTATTTTTTGAATTTAAAGAAATTTTTTAGAGCTGTTTTAGGTTCATGACAATATGGAGAAACTAGTACAGAGCTTTACTAGATATTCCCTTCCCCCACACATCCCCAATGTCTACCTTTTCTCTAGGAATTAGAAAACTCTTAGCTCCAGATAGATAAGAAAATTCAGGAAAAAAACTGCCTTCTCATTCTGACATTTGATTTTTTTAATCTGC